TGGAACATTGAGGTTAAAGACTCTGAGCTTTGGAACAGTGAGCTCGAGAGCACAAAGCTTAGGTACTCTAAGCTTAGAGGCACTGAGCTTTGGAACTCTGAGCTTGGAAATACTGAGCTTTGGAACACTGAGCTTTGGAACACTGAGCCTAGGAGGTTCTAAGTTTAGGGACTCTGAGCTTAGGACTGCTGAACTTGGAAATTCTGAGCTCTGGTAGCACAAAGCTTAGGAACCCTGAGCTTAGGGACACGGAGCTTTGGAACACTGAACTTAGAGTCACAAAGCTTAGGAACTCCGAGCTTGGAAATACTATGCTTTGGAAGTCGAACTTCGGAACTACCAGCTAAGAGCCACTAAGCTTAGGGGTATTGAGCTTTGAAACAGTAATCTTTTTTTGCACCGAGGTGTGGATCAGTGAGGTTCGAGACCCCGAGCTTGGCATCACTGTACCAAGGAACACGAACTCACCAAAGCTCGGATAACCAAATACAATACATCCTCAATTGAGATAAAATGGCGTTTGGATAAATGGAGTCCTACTGTAATCGAATCAAGAGTTTCCCCATCTCTGTTCGCAACACGTGTCCCTATGAAATTCGATTCATTGATCCATCCCACTCTTGTTACCGGGGGGGGCTGTGGGGTGGTTGTTGTAGACCTAGCTAAAATACTGGCGGGCAAATATTTGATCGCTCCGCAGCCGTTATAACGCGCTTATGTGCACAAAGCCAGACGCGCACGGTTTTAAATCCGTCATTTTACAGCGGCTCGCGGCGTTTCACTTATAACCGGGCCCGCGGATGTTTACGCGACCGCGGATCCGGCCAAATATGCAAAATACATGGTGGAAATATATGCGCGCCGCCTGCACGGCCAGCCGTACCCTTATTTCTGGCAGACGTATCGTTTTAAATTGTTTCGGCGCTATTCGAATTTTATTTTAATACACGGTGTGCAGTAGCTCGCAAAAAACCAGCCGGGGCTGTTGCGCAACTTCATAAACGGTATTTCAAAACTGTCCCGTATTCCAACGCTATATCGACTGGTAGATTATTAAATACATTTTTGTCATTGGGAATAGTAGTTTCTTATTTATTACTGATACGGCATTTTATGCTCCCTAATATTATATGAATATTAATGCGAAGGTGATTCCCATGGATAAAATAAATATCACTGAATCGAATTATACAGGGTGTCCCAAAAATGTTGGAGGTCCTTGAAAAGGCTGGTTCAGGGGGTGATTTGAAACAACTTTTTCCTTAGCGAAAATGTTGTCCGAGGTTTCATTAAAGAGATATTAAGCGAAAACCCCGACCAATCAGAGCGCGAGTATGCCGCTGGAGCGCCTGCGGTACCCAATGAGCGCAGGCGCTTAGCGCGTAGCCTACGCTCAAGCGACAAACTCGCGCTCTGATTGGTCAGGGTTTTCGCTTAATATTTCCTCAACGAATCCTCGGACAACATTTTCGCCAAGGAAAAAGTTATTTCAAATCACCCCACGAACCACCCCTTTCAAGAACCTCCAACAGTTTTTGGGCACCCTGTATTTCGAATATACAGGACGACTTAAAAATCTGCTGCATCGGAATGAAAACAAAATGTAATTAATAAACTAAGAGTACTGGTTCGTGTTCCTTGTAAGACGAAAAGAAAACCATTAACGAAATACTAAAAATCTTGGTTTTAGCGTTCGAAAGGGGGTCCCGGTGCCCCCTCCCCAAAGCGCCGAGGCCGGCCACCGTGGAGTTTTAGTGGGTATTCCCCTTCTTCTGAGGGGCGAATTCCATACTACCCCCTCCATCTAAGGGGGTGTGCGTAAACGCATTTCTACACGTATAAAAAAAAGGAAGGGAGGCCTGGGTACATTGAAAACGATACCGTGACTCTCCGAGCGCTCAGTTCGAGTTATATTACTTAGTTATTATCAGATAAAGGGCCTACTGTAAAGCAACTGCGCGTTACCGGACCTTGGAACTTTTTCCAATAATTCGTGCAACTGAAGAGATTGACACGGGATCGTTATCGGACGTCGCATACAAGTAATCGAGTGAAACGATCGAAATACAAAAGCGAGTAACTGTAGAACAAGGTCGAACGAGGCAAATGTTTCTGTGCGTCTTATCAGACACTGATATCAGTGTCGTACGCAAACGAGTCCTAAAAATAAATCGTTACATGTACCGCGTGATTCTTTTTTCCTATTTTATTTAAAAATCATAGAAAAGGTACGCAGGAGAATCTGAAAGTAATTTTAACAAGAAAAATTACGTAAGGATCGCCTGGTGAATATTCAGGTCATTCGGTTAACGCTTATCGAAACAAATATAATGTCCGATCCGCGGCACGTAAAGGGGGAAAAAATAAACCCGTACACGTTCCGTCATCGTCGACTTCCGTTTCGAAAACGATAACAATTTTAAAAGCTGCGGCGAGATTTATCTATCGAATAAAGCGTCGAACGATCCTTGCTTTTACTCGTTACTCGTTGAACTTCTTTGTTTATGTAATTTTTGAAGAAACATTTAAAAGAAAAGATGTGAAGCGTCGCTGGATTGTCGAGAACGCGAATGATGGAGAACTTTTGCGCGATACTGTATTTATGACGTCCCAATTCTGGTGGTAGACCAACGCCACGTATGCGTGACAGCGATAATTTTGCATTCCGCGTCAATAAAACAAAACGAGGCCTGGATTCGTTGGCACTTGAAAATACTTGGTTTACGTGCCGATGTAGGATGAATGTTGGTTGTACAGAGTAGTAGATTCGAATTTTATAAATAGTCTCAGCACTGAGTCCATCAGAGATTAACAAGTGCCTTTTCAATCATTTATGACTCTAGTTTAAGTAGAAATGCATGCTCGTCTTTGATCTCTACGAAACCATCTCTGTAATAAATTTATACAGGGTGTCCAAAAAATGTTGGAGGTCCGTGGAAGGGGTGGTTCGGGTGATTTTAAACAACTTTTTCCTTAGCGAAAATGTTGTCCGAGGCTTCGTTAAGGAGATATCAACAGAAAACCCCGACCAATCAGAGCGCGAGTACGCCGGTGGAGCGCCCGCAGTGGCGTAGGCTGCCGCGCTCTGATTGGTCCGGGGTTTTCTGTTGATATCTCCTTAACGAAGCCTCGGACAACATTTTCGCTAAGGAAAAAGTTGTTTCAAATCACCTCCCGAACCACCCCTTTCAAGGACCTCCAACATTTTTTGGACACTCTGTATAGGTGGATAAATTAACCCTTTGCACTCGAGGCCTTTTTTTTAAGTATCTACCAGCAACTCGAGATGCTTTCATAGCATTCTATTGCCACGAATGCTAAGCTGTCGAGATTTGAGAATCGGGTCACCTTTACCACACCGACAATCATTTTATTGACATTTCGAGTTCCAAAGAAATTAAACCTAAAGAAACATTATTGCTGATAGATTTGTCTAGAAACCTAATGGTGCCTGAGAGTCACCTATCGAACGCAAAGGGTTAAGTCTCAACCTGATAATCATTGCAATATACAATATATGTACAATCACTGTAATATTTTGTATTCGTACAAAAACCATTTATTTTAAATTGTTTGCTGTACTTCCTACACCGACTGTACGTTCCAAGTCTTTTGCCAACAAATTTAACTCGTTATTTTTCTAACGTATTACAGGCGTACTTGATAATTATAAAAACTGAGTAATTATAAAAAAACAAAAGAGTACAATAAAATTTTCATGGCAATTCCCATGGATACGTTGCAATGGATGTCAAGTTGAGAACCTAAAGGTACTTTTAACCAACCTTATACCGAAATGACGAACAAGCGTGCCTATTTAAAGCACGGTTACAAATGATCGAACATAAAGACGGAGAATTAACGGCCACACCTGATAAATATACATAACGTGGGTTGTGTGTTCGTTTGTCGGTCACCCTGACACGATACGTCTCGAAGTTGAGACGAATGGTATCGCGTTACGTTCAACAGACAGCCGGCACGTAACGGGAAATCGATATATAAAGTGAATTTTTATTTTTCATAGGTACATGGGTCGCCGTCGGTACATAGCCATTATGCGATACGTGGATATATAATCTTTGGCTATATAGCCTCGTTACAGCGTGCGTCTATAGCACGTGCAGTTATTCGGGGTTTCCGTGGGAAGTTGGCAAAAGCAGTGCATGCGCGAATTTCCGGAATAAATTTCGTCGGTGTGCTTAAATTCGCCTCCTTTATCGACTTTTCCGTCTACGCGGCTTCTTCAAAGACGCCCCGCTGCCTTTCGTTTACGTAAGTCGCGATAATAATAATAATAATACCGTTGACGCGACCCCACCCGAGCCAAATTACTGGGACAAATGTTCTTTGGAAGTTTTACGTTATTTATCATAATAGTAAGACTCTTTGAACGACGTGTTCGTGATGTATACGAAACAAAACGATATGGCGAAAACAACGCAGGAAAATATTGGAAAATAGAAGAGATAGAAAAAAAAGTTTCTACTGTTATTTATTATATTAATAAAATTTTCCGGAATTTTCACTCAAACGAAACAAGAAAATGGC